CGGCGATTGTGACCTACACGATTGTCACAGACGTGTCTCGCCTGAAAATCACTGCATTGATTGCAGGTAACTTTTACCAAATCGAGTAAAAATTACTTGTGGTTCTGAAAGCAATTGGTCGTCCGATTGTCACGTGTATGTTTTGACAACTCGTATCTCGACGCCTGTCTGTCTCACGTGCACTACTGAGGTCACGGGAAATGTATGTACAGCCATGAAATCATATCATACACTGTAGGCAATATAGATTAAACAAAATCCTCGAATGGCTACGAGCTAGGTACTTGGATTACACATTTTATCTATGAGGAGGGTCGTAATTTACTCCTACCGATACAGCGGATCGGCTGGATTGTGACCGCATTTACTGACGTTGCGATATCACGAAAAAACGAGCTTACTTTAAACTTGATTGAATGTACAGATTTTATTCATACTCTTACTTGATAAATACGGATCCGTGTGTACACAGACTTGAAAGCGATAATTTTACGCAAAGTTTATCGTGAAGTTTACAAAATGGCCAAATCTATTCGCAATCAATTATATATCTGTGAAATTGAATATTGCGAGTGATGATTTTGGATTTCCGTTCGTTGCCCGTGCTTCGAGAATGTCTTGACAATCTTTTTGTCTCAAATTTACACAATATCAATTGATTTCAACACAAAACATCATATTAAACATTTTGGTGTCAAAATAATCAAGCTTGTTAATATATTTACGCCAAACTCGTGAACATATGGTGCCATGTAAGGGTAATGATTACCGTATCCAGTAAAAATTACTCGTGGTTTAGAAGGTGATTGGTTGTGAACGAGTAAATTTTACCAGTGTTCTTGGTTCATCAAAATACTTGATGCTGATTGGCTGAGGACGAGGGTAAAAATTACGCTTAGCGGTAATTCCTAATCCTCCAAAATGAGATTGTACACTCCATAATGTCTTTGGCCCGTGTTCATAATTAAGTGATGTTTTCTCTAAAGAGTATAAGTCACGTAAATATTTGCGGAACCGGGGGGGTTGGGGGGGGGGGGGATAATCCCCTATATGCGCTATACGGGGACGTGCCGCAAACCAGGGTATCGTTTTTAGCGATTTTACTCTGGATTAGGGTATCAATCTCAACGAATTTTCTCTGGAACAGGGTCAGGGTTGAATACCGGAATTATTGATGCTGGATAAAAATTCATGGGGTAAAAATTCGGTCTGCACGCAAGCTAGTGCAGGATTTTACTCTGGAACAGGGTATAGTTTTCAGCGATTTCATTCTGGAGCAGGGTCAGGGTTTTGAGGTCCCAGCGGCACACCCCCACCCAAGTTTCGGGGGAGTACCCCCCGGGTTGCGGAACAACTTGATTTTTTTTGATTTATTCAATCAGCACATGCCAGGCTCAAAAACCGTGTTGGGGATTGGTATCGTTTTGTGTCACTTGGTGACGGATTGTCACGAAACGACATTGATTTTGACGGACCGTCTTGTAGACAAAAATTGTAAGAAAACACATGAATAAAACTATTTTTTTTATTCCCGCCCCGACTTTTTTTTAAAAAGTAATTACAGCGCCGTAGTTACGATCAGGCAAGCGAGGCACTTTCCTCGGTAAATCTTTCTCACCTGCATCTGCATAAACCTTGAGTTTGGTTTTGGTACGAGGTGGTTTTCAAATCCGGTTCCTGCCCAGTTAAGAAGCTCACATTGACATCGCGATTGATCCAAAGCAATGGTATTCACCGACAAGCATTCCTTGTTTTGTACGCACTTGAAGCAGCATTCTTTAGTGCTCTTGGTAGTTTGGTTGGACAAAAGACTGTCGGGTTTAGAAAACAACTTTCCTTCTGCGCTTATTTCAAAGTTTCGAACGATAGGTTTTCCCTTGTTGTTACCATTAGACACAGAATGAGTAGTTTTAAAAAGATTATAACACGCAAGAAAGAAGAAAACCCTTCCGAGGGACATCCTGAACTAAATCAGGTTTAAATGATAAGCAGGTGCATTTTAAGGCTAAACATTTTAACAGGCAATTGTATTTTAGAATAATAATGTAACTTGATTAAAACTACAGAGGTTTATCAATCTATAGTCGCTGGAAATCATTTCGTACATATTGGTTTAATAGTATTGTCGTACGAGAATCGCTATACTTTGCTCTCGCACACCTCAAATCGTAGGTGTAAACTGGTTGGATTTTCGCGGTAATCTTCGCGTGTAAACGTCTCTCAGTTTCAAATTTTTGAAATTCACATCCAAACTGCGATTTTCGCTTTAAGTTTATCATTCCTACCGGACTGCCCAAAATTGCACGAGTAACCATGCTCAAAAGGAGTTTTTTTATCACTTTGCAATGAATCACGCAAAATTGCAAGTGCAAGCAAAAATTAAAACGCTTACTGTATTGACCATTTTTATTCATTCAACTATTTTCTATTGTTGGCACAATTATTAAGCTATATCAACCTGGCAGTTTTTACGGAGCAGGTATACGAGACTTGCAGACAATCGCAAAACACGACGAGATCGCTAGACAGATTGAAATACAACGAAGAAGAAAAACAAAGAAAAAGAAGACGAAAGAAGAAGAAGAAGAAGAAGAAGAAGAAGAAGAAGAAGAAAATCAAGAGAAGGAAGATCACAAGAAGAAAAATTAGAACAAGAGATTGATACGGAGATGAAGAGGAGAGGAAAACCATGCATGAAAATCAAAGAAAAAAGATTAAGATCGAAGAACACACGACACGGCTGCAAGGAGACTAACTCAATCATGGATAAGGAATGATTACCTATGTTCTGGAAACTAATCAGATTTTTCCCAAAATTGTAAGAAAAGGCGATACTTTATAAATTATACAAACGATATAAGAATTTAAGATTGTTTCAGTTACCGTGTAGCTGGCACAATGATTGCTTTGTCCGCCAATTTGCTCAGCAATAATTAATTGGCCGTAATATGAAGCAATAATTTTGAACTACCAGTAAAAACAAGGTGCAAATTGGGTGCAATAGGCGGATAATGTTCCAGTAGCTGTAGTTGCGAGTTTATTCCGAGCAGTAGCTGTCTTCAATTTGATCAACATTGAGAAGGCCCCAAGATCCGGATGACATGTCCACCAATCGTACCCTAGCCTCTTTTCCTTTATATGCTGTTACGTCAAAGCTTTTCATTGTCATTGGATGGTCACTTTGTGTCGACGTTGCCTTGGCAACAACAGATCCACCAATCAGCAGTTCTAGTCGTTCAGTATTTATGTTAGATTCTCCACCAATCAGGAACCTTAGCTTTGTTCCTCGAATTACAAATGTTGGTGAGGTGGCTGTGCCAGTAGGTCCATTTCCTTGTTGTCCGGCTGCCGGATGAGAAGGACTGGGTCTGTCTTCAAACGTTCCAACAAACCATTTTCCTTTAAGATTTGCAGAAGGCTTTCCTCGAGCTAGAGTGTTATCGCCATAGGTTGGCTGATTGTTGAATGCTGTTCCTGTCAGGTTCCAACCCTCAAGTCGCCCACTTTCAAAGTCAAATAGCACGCATTCTATAAAATATTATTAATTATTATTATGTTATAAAGTTTTTTAAAAATTGAATATTTAGCTCTAAGAAAATGCAGTCAACTCTCTCGTAAGCGACCACCTCGGGATCAGAAAAAGTGGTCGCTTACGAGAGAGTTTTTTTTTACAGAGTTTATAAATCGGAAACAATTTTAATGGGAAATTTAAAAGGCGGTCGCTTACGGGAGATGGTCGTTTACAAGAGTGGTCGTTCAAAGAAAATCCATACCCTGTACATAAAAAAATATAAATGTATTTGTCGAGAGTCAAAAATCTGATGAAAGACAATCTAGTTCTTTCGCCACAGCGAGCTCAGAAGTCCATGAGAGTTATGAGATTCTCACGGAGATCTTTTAACAATACAATTCAGGCTTTAAATAATTTTTGAGACTACACAGGTGTTTTTAAGGCCGATTTAGACGGTAAAACAATTGCCTACAACTATCCGCATGCAACATGCGTAAGTTATCCTTACAACATGGCTACAACTGTCGTAGAGATTAAAAGCAATTGTTTGATAACCCTACGACAGTTGTAGCCATGTTGTAAGGATGACTTACGCGTGTTGCATGCGATAGTTGTAGGCAAAAGTTGCACCGTCTAAATCGGTCTTTAGAAATACTATGTAATAGTATATAGAATTAATGCAACTACACTTTCATACGTAGGTAGGAGCTCTTTTTCACTTACTTTCTTCACAATTTCTTCCAGTGCGGCCAACACAAGTACAGGTGTAGTTTGTTCCTCGATCTTTCACGGTGCACTGTCCTCCATTTTGACAAGGATTTGGAGAACACGATGTCTGTAAATTAATATTAAATGTAATCGTCAGTCCGGCTAAAGTTAAAGTTTATACTTTGACTGGAAAAATCATATTCAACAAATGTGTTTAAACAATGATATCCCAAAACAGTATTGAAAAATATTTTCCTTTAATGAAGTAATGCCAAATGCATTATTTTGTTAAATAAGAAAATTTGAAAGATTTGTTATTTGTGACATTTAGATGGAATTCTTTACGACCTTGTACTTGCTTATATTACATGCTTATATTACAGGCCTAGACTGTTTTGATTAATGTTGCCAACGTTGTAACGCGGTTACATGTGTGGTTCAACTTCCTATAGTGAAGACCACCATCGTCTTAGTTTTGACTAGAAATTTGATGGAAACAAGATATCGGATTAGATTTAGAATTATAAAATGACTGACTTCATAGCCCTCGAATCATCTGCCTATCTCATTGTACCTTGTTGCGGGCCAAGACTGGGGTTGTAGTCTAGATCGTATTAGAAAGTACAGACCAAAGTATGGAAAGTGCTTGAGTTTGGAAGCCCTACTATACAAACACTCCGACTGCGGAAAGTCTTTCTGGTAGACCTTCTTTAGCCTCAGCTTTTGCCGAACAAATCAATCATGGTTTGTAAGTACTGTACTTGGGAACCGATAAACGGTTGAGTGGCAAATCAGAACGATCCTTTCCATTTGAGCGTGTCTCTACAATTCTTTTTCAATCAATGTTTTGGTTGTTGTTTAGTAGATTAATACCTAAAGATTACTGAAAGTTTCTAGCCGAAAACCGATACCTTCCCCAGAAGGTTTCCTGAATGGAAACTTTGATCGTTTTCTATTTATTAGAACTGCCTGGACAGGCGCAAGATAATTCCATTTCCAAACATTACGTGTTAAATTTGAAGAATGGATTTCTAAATATTGTCCGTTATTGGGAGTTACTGAAAAATCTAAAAAAAATTCAATTTGCCAATAACTCTTTGCCGAAAAGGTTGTCAAAGAGAAGAGGGAATACACGACTGAAAGTCAGAAGAAGAAAAAAGAAACGACTTCGCAATGTTTTTCAAAAAGTAATTATCGACATCTTCTTCCTCACCTGCATCTGCATAAACCTTGAGTTGGTTTTCGATACAAGTTGGTTTTCAAATCCGGTTCCTGCCCAGTTAAGAAGCTCACATTGACATCGCGATTGATCCAAAGCAATGGTATTCACTGACAAGCATTCCTTGTTTTGTACGCACTTGAAGCAGCATTCTTTAGTGCTTTTGGTTGTTTGGTTGGACAAAAGACTGCCGGGTTTAGAGAAAAACTTTCCTTTTGCACTTATGTCAAAGTTTCGAACGATAAGTTTTTCCTTGTTGTTACCATTAGCCACAGAATGAGTAGTTTTAAAAAAATGATAAAAAACAAAACAGAAGAAGACTCTCCCAAGTGACATTCTGACCTGATTCAACGGCTGAATAAGGGTTTGACGAAAAGCAGGTGCATTTTAAGACAAAACGTTTTAACAAGCCGTTGTATTTTAACATAATAATGTAACTTGATTTGGATCGTTAAATCACGCTGATATAACTACAAAGGCTCATCAATCTATACTTGTCGGAAATCTTTTCGTGAATATTAGTTTTATATGCTTTTCATCAATAACCAGATTTTCAATACGTATTTTCCTTTTTCCATCGCTGTTACGACTAACCCAGGCAAAATTCACGACTTGGAAAGTGCAATTATAGAAGTTATATAATCAGTTTTTCATTGCTTTAAACGCCTTGCAGAGTAAATTAAACAAGAACAATGTAATACGCATTTCATAGTAAAGTCACCCATAGACGCCATAGCATGTTTTTCGACTTTTTTGTCACAAATTTTCTTATTATTAATTTTTCGGAAGCAAAAAGTGGGGGAGGGGTAGGGGGCGCAGTCCCCTAGCTCCCCCGTCTCCGCGGCCCCGGATTAATCTGCATATCTAATGAGGAGGTGTTTTTCAAATTTGCTAAAGCTGCGAGCAGGCGTTCCTTTCTCCGCCCCAAACTCTCTCGGAGCAGATAGGAACTCCTGGCTACGCAGGCTATATATGCATGTACAAAGTACAAAATCAGGGCCAGAAAATCCGGACATATGAGCCCGCAATCGCAGCGGTACTTCGCATAAAGCACAAAAACATGTTTGTTAAATTTTACAAAGAAATGTACGGATCAAAAAAATTATTTCAGGGTCTGAATGGGGTTAACTGACTTGCGACAAATAGACAAAATAACAACTGACTAGCGACTAATTTGAACAAAATTTGCTGACTACCGACATTAACAAATTTACTGACTGGCGACATTTCCAATATTCAAAGATGTTAGCTCCGTGAATACAAGCTTTTTTTTCAAGCAACTAAATTCGAAATTTTCCGCGGAAAAAATAAATTTTGCTTTCGGATTGGCTTCTTGAAGTTGTGATGAGCCACTCTAAACCTTTAAGGGCATCCAATTGACCAATCAAGACTCAAGGATTCAATTGTTGGCATTTAAGAAAGAATTCTGTTGGTATAAAGCACCGTTTTATATGCATTTAAACGATTTTTGTTTTGAAAAATCGTCGGAACCGTAATTTCAATTAAATAACCGACTACCGACAAATGCCTAAAATTTTAACTGACTACCGACATTGAGACCCCCCCCCCCCCCCATTAAGACCCTGTTATTTGAGAATAACATTTCATCTCTTTTCCCTGGAAAGTTTTCCAAGATGAATTCCTATAGGGAAACTATTCTTGATTCCACTGTAGGAAATCCAAAAAAATACAATATTGTTAAGAGCGTCGATCCTTTTTGACAAATTTATTTTCCTTTCGTAGTCTCCTTTGACCTTGTATCTCATGGCGAAAATCCGCGAAGAAGCGAAATTTCACCGTGGCTGATCGTGTTTCTTTACATGTCACTGCAGCTGATATTTCAAAGATCATTACTCAAAGTCCACATATTGAGGTAGAAACACAGCGATTTTCAGCTATTTTGAAGACGATAAACAGCGTCCTTTTTGGTACTAGAAATAGTACAATTTGAAAACACTAACTTGATGGTGAAATGGCTGGCGACGACTCGTGTTTCACGCGAATAATTGGCCTCGATCTTCCATTTTCTTTCCATTTTATTCGCCATGTTTGGTACCAAAACAAACCTTAGAAACGTGGCTTTCAGACTAGGAATGCTTTAATTTTGGAGGTTTTTACTGGCGCCTTGCGCGCACTGGTAAATAGCGGGAAATACGAACGAAAGATAGACCAATCAAGTGTACGCTATTTAGTGTAAACAATGTCAGACCTTTTAAATTCCTTAGAAATGTACAAGTATAAACAAAAGATCACAATATCAACTGATGATCATTGTTTAAAATACCTGAGGCAAACGTGTGTTCCAGCAAATAATATCTGTAATATTATTTACACTATGAACATTCCAAACGAGCACCTAAACAAGCCACTAATGAACTGTACGTGCGTTGTGATTGGTTATCTAAAAATAGATTACTAGGTTATTAGCGAGATTAACACTTCTGTTCTGGTTATGTACTGCTGAAGGTCACTCATGGACACCATTTTTTGTCAAAAGATGTTCCTTCTTTCTTTCTTTTTTTTTTTCAATTTGGTTTAAATTTACTATTGTCTCGTGCAACTTGAAGATTACAACATAAAGACTATCTAATTATTTGACATATTTAATTCAAGTTTATTATAAGTAAAAAATCCAATGGTGGGAACTAGCGGTAAACTAGTGCGAGATGCGTTGGTGTTTCTAATGAAACAGTTGTGTAAAAAGATAAATTTAATACCGTAAAAAAATGTATGTGAAATATCTTTGTGACGTTTCGGAAGTTAATCCTTTGTCGGAGTAAAGAGATGGAACTCTGAGATGGAACTTTGAACATCTCTTTACTCCAACGAAGGATTAACTGTAAGTAAAAGTCTGTTGGTGGAAGATGGTGCTTTACTATTTACAACTGTCTTCGATGTGATCAACGTTGACAGCAGCCCAATCACCTGAAGACTCGTCGACTATTCGAACCTGAGCTACCAGGCCTCTAAACGATGACACATCAAACTCTCTTTGCTCCATTGAATGCTGAGAAATTGAACTCGTTGCCTTGGCAACAACAGATCCACCAACTAGTAGCTCTAGCCGTTCGGCGTTAATCGAGCCTCCGCCAATCAGAAACGTCAGTTTTGATCCAATTATTACAAAAGGAGGTGATGTTGCGGTGCCGATAGGCACAG